TCTCTCAAACACTCGGCTTCTAGAAGGCGGGTTTGCAGGCTGATTAGTGTATAGCACTGTCTTCGCACGCTGAAATCTGGTTGGTGCCTCTGCGGTTGCGGAAGGGAGGTCTGCAGGTTTATGCTGTAAGCTGGTTGGTGCCTCTGGGGTTGCGGAAGGGAGGTCTGAAGGTTTCTGCTGTAAGCTGGTTGGTGCCTCTGGGGTTGCAGAAGGGAGGGTTGGGCATGGCGTTTTGGCCTGAGGCTGCGACGCACACCCACATGTGCACTCCCGGGGGGTCTCACCAAGCACCAAAGTGGGACACCTACAAAATGGTTCCAATCTCTTGGGCTCAGTGGGCGCTGGACTGGGCAGGGTCAATCCCACCATCGCAGATTCCGCATCATATGGCTGGGTCTCCAAATTGTCGACAAAGCTTTTGCCTTAATAAAAACAACTCATCAACCCCTTTCACAGTTTCCACTTGGGAGGCACCCAAATCTGACCCCAGCGCCCTAAACAAGCTGAACGTCCAAATATGGTGTTTGCTTGATGTTCTAGCTGGGGTCAGTTTTGGGAGTATCCCAAACAGGAATGCACTTCGCGTTGGCTAGCCTGTTAGCTAGTACATGCAATCTAGAGACTGCCTCGCAAAGGAACCGCTAGTTTCTGCTGCTCCAGCTTAGCAAGGTTGGCTTGCAACTCCAAAAGTTCAGTCAGCTTGAGTAGCTCAGCAAGTTCATCCTTCTTTTTCTCAACCTGACCAGCGCCAGCAGTGGTTAAACATTCGTGCATGAGATGCACATACTAGGCCTCTTTGGGTGGAGTTTCATATGGACCATCTCCTAGGGTGCGAAATCAATTTGCCTTAAGCATGCAGTTCAATGCTGAGGTCAAAGCTCAACAGCTTCGGCCCGAGGCTGGCCTGCGTTGACAGCTCGATCTAGGATGAAGCCACTTGCCTAGCCTAAATGATCTAGCCTTTGGTGTGACCAGATCTTCGCGTTGGTCTCCCGGTGAAGCCTTCAGCAACAGTGGCCATAACACACCCTATGGCCACTGTTCTGAACAGTGGCCATTGCACATGCATATGCCATATATCGTGTACTGCATTCTGCGTTATATCAGAGCCACGCCTTCTCAACGGCAAGGGGACCTTCCTCCATGGCCTTGTCCTCACCCACCTGTCAAGTGTTAACAATTTTTCAGCTACAAAGTGAATCAACGTACAACAGCTAGGAATTGAAGTTGTGGAGCGAACAGGGGTCTAAGGGAGGCAATTGTTTGGGGCAGTGACTGCAACACCCTGTGAAGCCTTCTCAACTGCAGTTGGAGGTGTAGGCTGTTCATCACGAAGCCGTGCTGGATCCTGGCATGTGTCCAGGGTGGATATGGATGGCCATACCTAATACCTATTCCCTTGCCTTGTCAGCTGATGCAAAGCTTGCCATGGAATGATGTGGTTCTTCTGGAATAGGGCCCTGGCAATGGACTTGTATACCAACAAAGGCCTTTTGACCTCTATAGTCTTCATGTGGTGAATCTCCATTTGGCCAGCCTCTGCAGGTGCTGCAGTGATGACATTCTCCTTCTTGGCTGGGACAGAACCTTGGCAGCCAAGCGGAAGTTGGAACATGCTTGGAGTTGCCGCTTCACTGAAAATAATAAGGCTTAAGAACTAGCAGTGTCATGAGGGACACAAATCTCAACCTCTTCATCGTCCGTTTCTTCCTCACTCTCTATCTCTTCCTCATTAAAATCCTCATCCTCATCGCAATCTTGGACTTGTTTGGGAGGTAGTTTCAATCCAAGCTTGGAGATCAGATCTTGAATCTGGGGTTCCCGAGGCCAGTATGGACGACGAAGAATGCTGTTGAAGATCGTCAGGCATCTGCGAAGCGTCCATGCTTGCGAATGACAATCTCCTGGGCACAAGTGATGGTAGGGTACATTCCAGGTTGGCTCACCCTAAAGCTCCTCCAGCTTCCAGAGTTTGACAAGAAAGGTAATTTGAGGTTCACACCCGCAGTATATTTCATGCATGCAAGTGTCCAACTTTCTCCACTCCGCAATAAGTGTAGAAGCTTTCGATGTGAACAGCAAGTGTCTCGACAGCTACCTTAAAACCAAGTTCTTGCACTGCATGGTACAGGACCGTGTGGTTCTTCACCAGAGTGTCTCGGCAAACCGTTTTGCCGGTGGTTTGGACCTGGGCAGGCGGTGGTGTGTGAAGCCCCTGGCATGGGCAAACATGGAAAGCATTGAGGACAAATAAGGGGCCCACCAAACCAAAAGTCTTCGACCGCCGGCGCAGTTCCGTGACTGCTTCCCATTTTTTGGCTAGCTCTGTGGTCATCACCCCAGGTGTGCTGAAAAGCTAGGAGCCAAATCGATCTACATCATACACGGATCGAGTGGTATTCAATCTGTACGCGGATTTCTTTCAAACGCACACATAGATCGAGTGGTGTTCAAATGTGTTCAATCTGTACGTGAATCGCACAAGTAGTGCAGAGCTGGGCTGACCTCATGCTGCACAGCCATCACCTGCAACAGACCATGGAGACCCCGCCATGCATGTGCATGCAAACATTCAAGTTGATCTAGCCTTCGAACATCTTCGAACCATTTCCTGAAATCCATGGTCCTGGCCGGTCTTCCCATCCAAGGACTTGGATCAATGAGATCAAAGACACTGCCAACAATGCATGATGGATGCTGTCCTCCACCCAAAGCACACGGGCCCAACGGGCCCAGCGGTAAAAAGGATTCAAATGGCTGAGGCGCATAATTCCTCAAAGTGATTGATATATAGTAGATTTAGGCGTTTTGCTTGCCAGATAGTGAAAGTAGGAATTGCGGGCGTGAACCTCAAACTACCTTTTTTTTTCAAGCGCTGGAAGCTAGAGGTAGTATGAGTTTGATGACCCCAAGCAAAAAGTCAGGCCGTGCCCCAGGTAGTTCTAACTGATCCCGTTCGAGTTCGAGTTCAAGTTCGAGTTCGATGCGCGAGATTGCGTGGATCGAGCGAGAGGGGGGTGGACCAGTTCGAGTTCGAGTTCGAGATCGAGTTCGGATCGACACACAATTATCGAGCCGGGGGGGGGTGGACCGGTTCGAGTTCGAGTTCG